TAATTATTAATTAATAAAAATTTATGAACATAAATAAAATAATTGTATTGTATTTTTAAGTTACTTAAATTATATATAAATTTTTTAATTGAATCATGTATTTTAAGGTGCCTGAATTATTTACGAATTTTTATTTGAACATTATATTTGAAGATACTTGAACTATGTATGAAAAAAAAATTTCTTATAATTTTATGATATGAATGTATATTGTATTTTTTATACCGTATTAAAAATATGTTTTTGACAACCTTGGTTTGTTAATTTTATGATATGAGTGTATATTGTATTTTTTATACCGTATCAAAAATATGTTTTTGACAACCTTGGTTTGTGCTATCAATTTGATTAATTTTGTTCTTAAACAATTATATTTTGGATAACATTGTCGCCTTGTTTGGAATGACTACTGACAACAAAAAATTTTTATTTTTTTTAAGTTTTAGTTTTTTGAACTGAATTTTTTTTCACATGTGCTAGTAAAATTTAAATTTGCTTTCAAAAATATTTATAAAAAACTTTTAGGTCAAGATCTTTTAAATTTTTCATGAACATTGAATATTAACAGAATTAAAAATAATTTGGAATGATTTCAAAATGTTGTTGAGCGGACTAGAAATATCATATAAATTTGTTTGTTTAATTTTAATAAAATTCACTTGATCGAATGTATAACATCAAACTTAAAAAAGGTTAATTATAAAAATCACAAATGCAAAGTTTTAAGAAACAAACTAAAATTATTAATGCACGAAAACAAATATCTATATTTTGACTCGAATTATTAAGATCGAGTATGATTGTAAATAAAATTATGAACTTCAGCCTCATTAACATTCCTGGTGATAAGTTGTAAATTATGCGTATCATCAATTAACAAGAATAAAACATAACACATGACTTGGATGGATTGAATCTATATGTATATAACCTAAAACGTACATTACTTGGTTATACTAAAAAACAAAGATGCACCTTATTAAAATATTTTCAAGCTTCATCATCGGAAAGGTACATCATCACTCCATCCACCGCATTATGTGAATGATGTCATGTTATGTGTTCAATAATTTTTAGTGACATGAATAATCTTTGCAGTCTAAGTGTGATTGAGAAGTATCAAAAAAAATTTATGTGCGACAAGAGTCTTTTCTCCACCAGTTTTGGGTTTATAATGAGTATACCAATATATTTTTGCTCTCAACTTTACATTTTCAAGATAATACATTTAGATGTTTGGATATATGCTAATATTTTAGTATCCAAGGCTGAGGGGTTTTATTATGGATTTAACATCATAAAAGTTATCTTTCAGCTTATTCCCTTCACTTAAATGTTTCTCGTTCATTCAAAAATTCTTTCATACCCGACCTTACTTAACCCATGATTTGACTTGATGATAAATACTTGAAAAATGACTAATAATTTATTATGATTATCACACCCGACATTGCAACGGTTTTAAAAAATTTCATGTAAAAAAACAGATTTCTAGCATCCTATTCTTTAATGAAGGAATGGTCTTATTTAAGGAGTTGTTCCTAGTATTATGGTTATTAGGAACCCTAACTGGTCAACAGAGATTTTATAGTATGAGACTAGTTACACAAAAAGAAATATATGATCACCTTTTAAGTATCCTGCCTGAGGTGGGCTGTATTGCTGATTTTGTCATAAATTGCTAAAAAAATTTTGGTTTATGAGATAATGTTTTACGTATAATATTCTTTAATCTAACACCAGTGAATATTCAACTGTGGATACTTTCAACTCTAGCATTGGTAAATATTATGTAGCTATAAAGATAAAATAAATTTAATTCATTATTTTTATTCCTAACTCTAGCGTCAATGAGTAAGTAAATAAAATAAATTTATTTTTATGTATACACATATAATTTTTTTTATTTTTTACATAGCTAAATAAATAATAATAATAATAATACAATAAAAAAATTTACATCAATATTTTTATTCTTGACTCTGACATCAGTGAATGTATTTTTATTCTTCACTCTGGCGTCAGTGAATAATCCATTAATTTATTTTTGCACATGCATATTTATTTTTGTGTAAATAAATAAAATATAATGAAATAAACTTGAATCTGTATTTTTATTCCTGACTCTATCGTTAATAAATAAATCAAAAAAATAAATTCATAGTTATATTTTTTTTATTTATGCATACACAAATTTTTATTTTTTATTTTTATTTTTATGCATAGGCTGAGCTAGACCCAGCCAGCTCGGCCCGGTCACTAGCCCAATCCAATGACTCGACAGGGCAAAACAAGATATGAACAGTGCAAATGTAATTAAATTTCCTTTGCATAGTTTTTAAACTTTGTTGAATGCATAGAATGAAAGGGGGAATGGGCGCATATGAATTACCTTTGCATAGTTTTTAAACTTTGTTATGGAATGATAGAATGAAAGGGGGAATGGGCGCATATGCTTCTGAAGATGGCTGAAACGCTAGTGGTGACTTTCATCTACTGCTTTCCTTTGTCTTCCTTTTGTATCCACTATTTGCCTTTTCTTCTTACCTTTTGTTTTTTCAGTAGCTTTTAGAACTAAGAAGATGATGAAGAGGCTGGCTTTGTGTGAATTTATTTTGACTGATTCTTGGTCTTTTTTTTTTTTACAGAGACAAAGATAATGGTAGGGTTAATCTGTGTCTCTCCTTTGCATTTCTCTCCTTCTTTGTGTAATCCCTGTTTTTCTCCACTTTTCCTCTGTTTTGGTTCGTCCTTTTATAGCGTTCTAGAAGGTTGCCCCTAAATTAGTCTTGCCTTTGCAGGCTGTTAATCAATTCACGAACGAGATCGTGGGCAAGAGACGTGGTCCACAATTCAGACCAAAATCACTGCACTTTTTCCAACTCCCCTATTATATTGAGATGAAGAAGACAAGTACGACTGTTCCACCCAGCAACGATGCCGTTTCAGCATAAATGGGCATTTTTATTTTTGGCCCCTAAACTTTTGATTTAACAATTGAATCCTAAATAATTAAAACTTTCTTTTAATTTTTCCCTGGATTAATTTTAACTAAATCCCTTAATTATAACACAATTTGCAAAACAGTCCTTAATTTTTGAAGTATTCAATTTGATCCTTAATTAACTTTTCAACTTTTAATTCTTTCAAAACTAACCCTAGAAATATCAGTTAAAATCCCTAAAGTACTCCTGTAATTTTATTATGAACCTTAGTCTTTAATTTTCTGAAATTTTATCTCTAATCAGCCTATAACTTTGGTATTTCTTTAATCAAACTCCTGATTTCTTTAATGAATTAAATCAAAGTTTAACTAAGTTCTCAAATTTATCAATTCTTTAATGAAGCTCTTAATTTGTATTAATTAAACTAATCCAAATTTTAATTAAAGTCTTCAACTTATTAATTCTTCAATTATTGATCAATTTACTTTTAAATTTAATAATTTCATCCTCAAATTTTAAATTTTGTGTTGTCTTAAACCCATTATCACAAATATATTTTATTCAGATTTTTTATTATTTATTCAAAAATTAGGTTATGACAATAATTTATGAACTCATCATATAATGGTTCATCTGAGTCTTTCAAGAGATAAAAAAAACTTGGTCTTATCTGTATTAGGTTTTTCATCTATAATTGGATATTGATCAACATAACTCTGATTCATTCCCTTCACATTAACAATTATACTTTTGTAAGGATACTATTGCCATCTACAACTTCATACACATTGTTAGAATTAGAAGTTAACTTAATCATCTTTTCTACCATGATTTCATGAGGAATATATAGTTCTCTATGCATAAACCAACACAAGTATCTCTCTGTGAACCCTTTTTATAGAAGATGCATCGTTACAACATATAGATTGAGAAAAATTTTATTTTTAGACCTTTTATATAGACATCTAATACCTTTTCTATTAATATTTCTCATATTAGATATTATATAATTAATAGAGTCACGAACCTCATTACAATAATTTATCCTACGCAACCCTTTAGGTGAATCTCGATACATCTATGAAAAATCATTCATTACTTATGTCAAACCTATATAGAACATTGATTACAATATATACAAATTATACATTCATACAGTAAATAATAACATAATATTGGTTTAACTCAAACTTATTCAAAATATTTTAATAGTATAACTAATTCATTATCAATTATCTATATAAATTTAAATTTCTATATATTTACTGAAAGTTTCAATTCAACAATAAAATTAACAAAATATAAAACGACCCCGTTAAAAAAGTCATTATCTCAAATTCAAAATAAATTTTATCAATTTACAAACAAATAAAAAATGAGTAATTTTTCTTACTTGAAATGGAGAATACTCAATAAAATTTGAATCAGAATAGAGATGCTAACAAATTAAATATTGGGGTGGCTGGATTTGTAGTGAAAGATTGATTTGTGATAAAATTGAGGGAGGGGGGTTGTGTTGATTGTTGTAAAGAAAAATAGAGGAAGAAGAAGAAATGAGGAAGGGAAAGAAGAGTGTTGTTTGTCATGTCATAAATTAAATATTACAGGTGGATTTATTCATAGAATTAAATTCATTGGCAATTTTGCTTGTAAAAATGACATCATCATACTTTTTTATTAATTTTTTATTTTTTTATTATAATTCTCTTGATATATATCGATAAAGTATTTTTGTTGGTTTTTATCTATGAACACGTCGAGGACATATGCAATTGGAAAAATTCATCGCAATCTACCAATAAAAATATTCATCAATGTGTCCATTTATATTTATCAATTTTATAATAGTGCCATCTAATTTTCTATCTTGTCTTCTATGTCTGTAGTGTCTTCCTTCAATCTGTAATGGGTCAATGACTAAACACTACCTTATATACCTTTGCTTTTTTTAAGCTTGGTCACACAATCTTGACGCTGTGTATGGTACAATATCCTATATGTTCTCATCCCTTGTTTGAATATATATTTTGTTGCGATTTACTGGCTGAATATTCTGTGAAGGTCGGGCATGCTGTTTATATTTATCTGTCAGGGCCTAATCCATCAATGGTCCAGGTTTGTTAACCTTTTTAAAATTACAAGTTTGTATATTTTGCTATTAGCTTATCTCACTAATGATTGGCAATATTAACAATGATAGATAGCCCTTATTCATTAACTGTTGAAATCATGGTTGCTGGCCACTACTATCATGAATGAATTGTAGCATCCTTGACCTCTGCAACAACTCTCACAATAATAGGTTTGCCAGCTTGCCTTTTTTTGCTTACTGCTTTCTGATTCTTTCCTGTTTTTAGTCGTCGACTGTGTAATTTCTGTCTACTTTGCACGGACTGGCATTTCATAATGTTTCCGCACTTTTCTTATTATAGAATTATTCCGCAGTAATAATTACCTACTATGCTCTCACTTTTGTTTAATTTTGGCAAGTTCTCTGCAGTATTTCTTGTCTCTCATTATGGAATGTTGGCTTTTGACTATATCTTCTGCAAGATTTTCTTCTCATTATTTTATTTTAATAGTAATCTCTCACCCAACAGTACACCATTGGAGATAAATCACGTGAAACTCAAGAGATGGTGCTTATAGAAGTACTTTGTTGTTCATGTCTGGACTTAATTATGTAGGTTGACATGGTGGTTTAGGAGGTGATGTAATTTTAGAATTTTCCCTCTTCAATTTGGGACGTCAACGATTTGTAACCACACATTGTAAGTAATCATTTTGTTACAGAATATTTTCAAACATATAGATTTGGGTCTTCTAGCATTAAGAGATCTCATTCCTAATCATGTTATCCTGGAGAATATGATAAAGGAGTGTCATGGAGTCTCAAAGAATATGATTGGAAATCTAAGGAAAGATAGAAGATAAGGTGTTAACTTTACTTTTTGTTAACCTGCAAGGATTTTGAATAATCTTTCTGGTCTTTGACTATATATTTTAAACTTACCATGCAACAATTCTTTAAAGGAGCAATCTTTGTGGTAGGTTGTTAGAGTAATTTTTGATGCAGAAGAACAATGGTTAGTATTTTTTGCCTTGCATGACATTGCTGATTCCAGATCGTTTGTTCATCATGGTCTTCACCGTAGTTTGTTGTTAAGAGGTCTTCTCTTCTATTTTCTCAACTCTCTTATATTTCCCTGCTGTTTTTGCAGCGTGCTTTTCAAATCTTTCTTCTGCAGTTCTAAAGCTTCTTCTTTTTTGTTATCCTTTTTTCCGTGACCCAATCTTTTTTTTTTCCTCCCTATCATTCACTTTCCTTGGGTTCCAAGAATTTTGTGCCTTTTTGTGTTTGATCAGCTACCTTTCTTGTTTTTCCCCCTTTTTTCCCCTGAACAGCTTGGCATGCTTGCTTATGGTTTTACCTTTTGTTGGATTTGCATTAGGACCCGCTTTTGTTTAGAAAGAAACATGGGCCTCTTGGTCCCTCCAGTTCGAGGGCCAGTTTCCCCTACTCTGCACTATCGCATAAGTTCAGGTCTTTTTCCCATACACTTCATTTTTGCGTGCGCGAAATGCTTTGGATTGTAGATATATAGCTTTGCGAATTAGCTGAGGCACTATGGTTCCTTAATTGTAGTGATAAAAGATTTGAGGAGAGGTGAGAAGGTGATTATATAGAATCAGATTATGGCTCCATCATTTTGCATGGGTGGGAAGTTATAATTACCAGGTGCCAAATTCTGTCCAACAAGGTGATGATGAAGATGAACTACTTTTCAGGCGCATCGTATCTCTTTAATTTTTCTTCTTTTTTATATCAGTGGAACATACTTCAAACTAAATTAATGACATGGGTATCGAGTGATGTTAGTGCTTTCTCCTATTGACATTGGTTCTGTGGTGTTTCAAGTTAGAATTCTTAACAGGTTAAGTTTCTTTTTGCCACTCAAACCATGCATAAAGCCCTGATGATTTCCGAACGAACACACACACAAAGTTTTGGAAAAACCAAGTGCATCCTTCGACTTTCATGGTCTTATTTTCTGTCTGGGTGCTTATAAATACGCCAGCAGTTTGCAAGCTGCTAATGTAGACAGACAACACAACAGTGAGGTGGCGTGGCGAGTTGGTGCAAAAGTAAGCGAGTTCTTCAGAAAACACTTGAGAGTTCAGATATCGGCTGTTACATCCTCCAGTTGGTAGCATAACTCCATTTCGTGTATGATTATAGCTATTCTCTGAATGATTTTAAGTTTCTTTTTTGATATAGATGCGGTGGAGATTCTTCTAAATAAATAGTGTGATGTGATAATAATATTCATGTGAAATAATCGATTCCCGTGAGATAATCTACCTGTGTTTTTATTTTCTAAAAAAGAATTCTAGTATTACTTTATAATTCTTTCTTTTTCCTCGTGTAATCCTAGACATGGCCAAAATTCAACAAGTCCCTTGAAAGGATTTATTCGAACATCATATTTATGCTCCCATCTTTTTAATAATGTTGATACATTATGAAACGATCTCTTTGGTCCATTTCAAAGATTTATTAAGCCAGAAAAGATGCACAAAACATTTCAGAGATACATAATATAAGCAATACAAGCAAAGATGATAGCTCACGTCAGGAAGATTATGTCTATCAAAAGCAAAGCAAAACAACAACAACAACAACATTCATACAAAGCACAAATCTTCTGCATCCACAAGAAATAGCTCAAGCATCGCCATGGCCAATCAAGGCAAGAAGCATTCGTTCATAATCTCCGGAAGTGTCTCCAGCAATGTCACGATCAAGAGTAACACTATTTCGGCGATGATATTCCTCCTTGATACGTTCCATGTCAACCTCAGCCCTGGTGGTTACAACTCTAGTAAGAGCCCTTTCATCTGTCCCTAGCTTTTTGATGGACAGCCGCAAAAGCTTCTCAAAGTATTTTTCAGGGTAGGTCAAGCACTTAATCGTTGCTCTCAGTAATTTGAGGAAATCGTTATCCGCCTCTTCCTTCAAATTCTGCAAACAGATTTTCCATTGTCAATTTAAAGCGAAACAAATGTCTACAATGCACCTAGAAATGTTGATATTACTGCAAGAGCTAAATAAAAATGGCATGTTATAGATTTTCAGTACTTCGCGGCAAATTGGTTATTCTACTCGCCCATTGAGACAACTTTGAAATCATTATTGACTAACTGGAATTTAACTTTGGGAATGATTTCAAAAAATAACTGATAAAAGTCGTATCAGATTCAGATCATTATACCTTGTTGATGGCATTTCCAAATGCGTTGTTGTAGTGATTAAGTGTTGCATTAAGTTGTGCCTTGCTCCTTGTAGTCAGAATCCTGATGATCTCTTCATCACTATAAGCTTTAGCTGAGATCTTCTCATGAAGTATCTTAGCCTCTGATTTTGCCAACATCGTGTTCACCTCTTCTCCCTCATATCGGAATGCACTTACAAGGGGAACCAACAGCTGCTCGGAACAATAATAAACACAGAACCAAGCAGTTCAAAATTGTTGTTACTAACAAAGCATCAAAAATTTAAGAGAAGATCAATCATCAGATTATTAACTTTTCATTAGAACTAGCCTATGATGTACACGGGCTAAAATCTCTCTGGCAAAATACTTAAGAGGCTTAGGGCATTACCTTGCGGAAGTCTCCAGTTGTGTGGTGTGCAACATCTTCCTCGAGGGATTTCTTGTAACGAGCATGATATGCCTGCCTCACCTTAAAAAGGTCATGTGAGGACCTAGTACAAGCTATTTCCATTAGAACCCAGTTGCTTGAAGTGAACCTCTTCGTCGCTTCATTAGCCAAATATGCATCACGCTCAGCAGGATCCAGTGTCCATAGCAACACAGCCCTCTGTTTCACGTAAACAAAATTTGCAAAAAAAAAATATGTATTAACAACCTCAGTGTCAATGCAATACCTTTCCAAAATAGAGAGGGATCTGGCAGGCATTAAAAGCCTTGCTTGCCATAAAATTACTCCTGATACACAGGAAGATAGCGTTTAATTAGAATTAACACGAGATGCATCGAACTCTGACCTCGAAGTCACTAGAAAGTTCCTTGTCCAAATCTTTAAGGAGATCTTGCCCGTATGCTTCAGCATAAACCTTTCGAATTAAGTTACGTTGTGCAGCATTCCTATGAGCCAGGATTGAGATGATCAATCCCTCATTTGTACCCCATCCTGCAAACGAAGAGGAAGAAAAGAAAAAACAGCTTACTGTTGATAAATTCAGTGCAGCAGGGCAATGCATCACAGAAAAATAGATATAGATCAATTTTTTAAGTACAGATTACAACATCAACATCAAATAATTTGCAAAGATTCCATTATGTTCTGCAATGATGATTGGTTAGTTGAAAACTGATCAAGACAAATAATTTACAAAACACCATTAACGTTATTAAACAGAAAATTAGATAGCTAACTTGTGTCTCATTTCTGCAGATCACGACTCAAGATCTTAACAATGCATATCAGCATAGAGATCAAACACGAAGCAAAAAGTAACTCCAAAATCAAATACCCTGCCATCATGTACTCGAAAGTCAAGCCAGCAACTGGTTCAAGAAATCAATCCTTTAAAAGAAATAGATGTAAAAGGCGAACTTCAAAAGCCTTTTGTGTTATTTCTCAGGAACAACACACGGTAACTTAACAATGTAGATCGGCATAGAGATCAAACACCAAACAAAACATCTACAAGATCAAATACCATTCATATCATGTTTGACTCACAAAGTCAAACCAACCATTTCTTCAAGAAATTATGAATCAAGCTCAAGTTTTCAACCACTGAATGCCAAATTATCTACCAAAGAGTGTCACTTTATATTACGATCAGCATCAAACAGCACATCAGAGGAATCCACAAAAAATCTCAACAAAAAAAAAAATAACGAAAAGAAAGGATAGATTCATCATGTAAAGGGTCACCTTCAAAAGCTTTATGAAGTTGCTCAGCATCCTCATAAGGAGGAGGAACAGAAGCTGGAACTTTAAGTGACGCCATTGTTTTCACTCTTCACTCTGTTTCACACTCTTTTTGTTTTGTGTTTGCCAAGAATCGGAAACGGTGGGTGAAGGTATGAGTTTTGAGTTCCTTTTATGGTGCATGAAAATGAAAAAAAAAAAAAAAGTACAAAAATTGTGATGGTATAGAAAATAATCGAAATCCCCGCCATGATTATATCTTACTTTTTATTATTTTATTAGGCATGTCACGCGTTAGGATGTGGTCCATGTTTTTCTTGTAAAAAATATGTTTAGGATGCAAACGGTTTATATTTTTTTACAAAAACAAATAAGAAAAAAATAAAGTTTGGATGATCTAAATGTATTTTAAAAAATAAAAAAAATAAAGATTTAAATTATGACATCAAGTGAGATTAATAAGTTAGGTTATTTTAATTAAATAATAAAAAATAATAACATTAATTAAAAAATTATTTTAAAAGGCATTATAATACTTTTAAAAAAAATCATGTAAGAACAACAACCAAAAAAAGAAACATGATATGAAAAAAAATAACAAGTTTTTTAATATATCAGCAGTGTTTAGCACTGTGATTGAAAAATACTTTTAAATTTTATTTTTTATTTTAAATTGATATATTTTTTATGTTTCATGTCATTTTAATATACTAATATTAAAAATAAAATTTAAAAAATAAAAAAAATATATTTTAATATATTTTAAAATAAAAAATATTTTAAAAAATAATTATCATCACTCTCAGATATCCTTTTAATTAAAGAAATGAAAAACAACAATGAATTTGGCCAGGTAATGGGAACATGGATGGAGTTACTATTTCTTAGATAACGTAAAACCTCTTTATCAATTTCACCCCAAACAAAAAACTGGTTGCAATTTCGTCCTAGATATATTTTGTCTAATACAAGATGTGTTCCTTGTGTCCAATCACCTCAGGCGATACTGTATGGTATTTTTCTGTGAGCAAATGGAAGCGAAGCGAAATATTAATATCTCAATAGAAAGGAGGGTTAGACATTTGGTCACATAACCCATGAAAAAAATAGGTTTTTGTTTATCCCAATTTACTTGTCCCGACATTATTATAGGTGAGACTATCACCATATTATTAACATATGGTAAAAATTATTCATTTCACTATAACAATTAACAATAAAATGTTTAGATATTTTATGATTTGATTTTTAATATTTTTTATTTTATTCTTTAAAATTAGATTTAATGGATATTAAACTTTATAATTTGTTTCAATTTATTTTTTATAAAGTTATTTAAATTTTATAATCCGAGTTTGATAGGTTAATTCTTGTTGACTCACATCATTTTATTAATTAATTTGTTTATTAATTTCATCATTTAATATTGCGTTGATTGAAAATTTTGTTTTATGTTCTTTATTTTCTTTATATCGAGGGTTATCACAGTCTCATAATCTATACCACGAGTTTTACAGGTTAGTAAGGTAGACTCAAGTTTTTTTGAATTTTTTTTAAATAATTTTTTTAATTTTATTCTTTAACATTGAGTTGGTTGAGAATTTAACTTCATGTTTTTTTTTCTATATAGTTATCTTGGTCTCATAATCTAATCTTAGCGAGTTATCCCGAGTTTACTCGAGATTTTTTTTAATTATTTTTTTAATTTAATCCATTAATATTTGATTGATTATGAATTATGCTTCAAGTTTTTTTTATTTTTTTTTTATAGGATTATCACAATCTTATAACCTGGGTTGTAAGGTAGTTCGGTCGCCTTGGGTTTTTTATCCTTTTTCTAACATATTTATTTATAATTTTATTATTCAATATTTAATGATTGAAAATTATGTTTGATAATTTATTTCGGTTTGCTTTTTATGAGATTATCTAGATCTCATAACTTAAGTCATTGATATAGTTGGTTAACTTAGGTGATTTTTTTTTATTTTCATATTTAATTTTTTTAATTTCATCTTTTAATATTAGGTTAATTAAAAATTAACCTTCATAATTTATTTCAATTTT